AATGAATGATGACTAGCACTTAAGTTGTGCGGTTGAGTAGTGTTAGTAATAAGTCGACGGTGGTATGTATATGAGCGACGCGGTCTGAGGGGTGCAGCAAAGGTTGAAGGGCGGGGAGTTGTGAGCGGAGTGGTGTACGAGGAGGGGGGGGGCGGGAGGTTATTACATACAATTGCTGCCAAGATAGGGCGGGCACAAAGTAAAATCACTCATTTGACGGAGGGGGCACCTTAAGTTTTATTCGAAATGTAAATAAAATTAAACGCAATAAAAGATTCTCAATACAGGCATCAAGATAGACTGTAACAAATATCAATACGAACAGCTGTTAAACGATTATTGAAAATATTTCATCGAAATGAAAAGCAAATTCACAACTGATCAATTTTAACCCAGTCTGAGTGATGAAATCGATCGACAACTTCCAAGTGTGCGAGTCAAGATGTTAGTCGATTCTGGTATGTTAACCTCTTCCAACGCCAACGAAATGCAGGAGGTGTGCGAGAAGTTGATGGTTGATGAAATCACTCTCAAAAGTTTTGTTCAACATCGTGAGTTTCTTGCATTGAAAGCTCAAAAAATTAACTGGAAAGAAGAAAATGAGGTCAAATCCCTCACAGCAAGACAAATTAAGATCTACCTTAAGCAGAACAATCTTTACGTATCCGGAAGTAAAGCTGAGCTGGTAGCACGTGCTCTTGATTTCTCGCATACTGGAACACGAAACAACGAAAGAAATGGTGCCAATGACAGTGACACAGAACTCCTATCCAGTGATTCCGAGTACGACTTTGATTCTCACACAAGTACTTCCGAAAACAACTCTGATTTGGATTCAGATGACTCCGAAACGGATGGCTTTGTTGAACATTCATATGAGGTACTATTTGTTCCAGACGACGATATCCAACAAGTAAGCGTACGCTTACAGTAGCATGACAATATAAAAGGTATTTACTTAAAGGCATCTATGGTAATGGTGGCGGTGAGGGGTGGGTGGGTGTGTGTGTGTGGGTGGGTGGGTGGTGGGAGGGGGGTGCGACGTTATTTTTAACATAAGAAAGGGGGGTTAGAACTATTTTTTTTGTTTTGGAGGGGGGGTACTGTCTTAGTTTTTGCTAGATAACTCTAGTTTTTCAGCTCCCCCCTCCTAATAATTATTGCACAGTCCCTTACTCTATCAGATCATCAGATGTACTGAATTCTTTAGAGTGGTCAAACTTAGAAGAAAGAAGAAAAAGGCACTTATTAGTTACGATGTTTAAAATATTCAATAATAATTGTCCGACGTACCTTCGGGAGCGGTTTCATAGAACCTCTGAAATTCATGACTATAATTAGAGGGGTTCTAACTATGATCTCCAACTACCACTACCTAACACAAATTTTCTTAAGCGTTCATTTTCTTATCGGGGTGCAATGGCTTGGAACCAACTGTCAAATAAAACATGTGAGATGGGCGATCTTACTAGCTTTAAACTCGCGATATCTTAGGATATAACTTTTTATTATGTTTTTATCTTATTTCTTGAATACTCATTTCTTGCTGTTATATTGTTTTTCAAATTATTACAATTTTTTTACCACTTTTATTAGTCTTGATTACCATATAAGCTAGATAGTTACGTTTATGAAAGTCGATAGGAACAGAAAAAATTGTCAATTCTTGTGCTAATTATTGTTAGTTAATCACTAGTCTTAATTTTTATAAATTGTAATTATCACACGGCATATCTGAAAACCAGCTTGCTGAGCCATTTACCGTGTTTAAATAAAGTTGATTGTTGATTGATTGGTTGATTGAGGGCATGCCCCTAACCCCCTCCCCCCCCCCCCCCACCNTAAAATATTCAATAATAATTGTCCGACGTACCTTCGGGAGCGGTTTCATAGAACCTCTGAAATTCATGACTATAATTAGAGGGGTTCTAACTATGATCTCCAACTACCACTACCTAACACAAATTTTCTTAAGCGTTCATTTTCTTATCGGGGTGCAATGGCTTGGAACCAACTGTCAAATAAAACATGTGAGATGGGCGATCTTACTAGCTTTAAACTCGCGATATCTTAGGATATAACTTTTTATTATGTTTTTATCTTATTTCTTGAATACTCATTTCTTGCTGTTATATTGTTTTTCAAATTATTACAATTTTTTTACCACTTTTATTAGTCTTGATTACCATATAAGCTAGATAGTTACGTTTATGAAAGTCGATAGGAACAGAAAAAATTGTCAATTCTTGTGCTAATTATTGTTAGTTAATCACTAGTCTTAATTTTTATAAATTGTAATTATCACACGGCATATCTGAAAACCAGCTTGCTGAGCCATTTACCGTGTTTAAATAAAGTTGATTGTTGATTGATTGGTTGATTGAGGGCATGCCCCTAACCCCCCCCCCCCCCCCCCCCCCCCCCCCCCCCCCACCGGTGGTAAAACTTAATGGTGTTAAAATACGATGCGGCACTATGGAACTACCATTTTACCATTTTTACAGCGTGTACTATAAATTTTTCAACCTCTTATCCTGTTTTAAAGGTCATCTCAGGGTGGGGAGGAGGGGGGTGAACCCCTGCACCCCTTCACCCCTGCACCATCTCCCTAGATCCTCCCCTCTGGTGAAGGATCCCTCTACTGATCATTTTTTCTTTTTCGTTCACCTCGGTTTATTTGGTCGCTCGCGGGCCGATACTTAGGAACTGTTCGCACTCCACATTGGTTGACACTGATGTCATTTCTTGACAGTTTTGAGAACAGACAAGAAACTATTTGCAGGTATATTGCAAGTTTTATTAGCCATAATCCACTCCGATTATAACATTTCCGCTGATACCTCTATTCATGAATTATTTTGCTTTGTATATTATAGCATTTTTTCCTCAAGCAATATAGTGAAAGTCATGATTCTGTATTTGCTTACGCAGGACACGGAGAATCGCCATTTATGTGAACTGTTAATGGATCTGAGATCATAAAAAAAGCAAACTGATAAGGGCCATTGTTGGAAACCCTTGGGTCTGCGATTGAGTTTCCTCCGTTGTCAGTCTGTGTGACCCGTGTCTCACCAGGTTTGTGCGACCACAGCCCGTTGTTATCCAGTCGATACCAGTGATGATCTCCATCTTGTAAACCTGTATTTAGAAAAGCAGAACAGCAATGCATTTTAGTAACAACAATCAGGGACTGGGTCCCTCGCCCCATGTAAGTGAATGCAAGACAGTCTTGGATTCTGGATTCTAATTACTCGATTCCAGATCTTTGTCAGCGGAGCTTGAATTCCGGATTTCAATTGTTAGTGGGATTCCGGATTCCCACAGATGTATTCCGGATTCCAAGGTCCAAGATTCCAGATTCAACAGGCAAAAATTTTTCGATTCCAGAATCCGGATTCCTTCTCTTGGGGCGATAGGATGGAGAGGAAGTATAATATATAGATTTTCCGGGGGGTACTCCCTAAAATAAGTCATACACCATAAATCCTCTATTAAGCCTCCTCTCTAGAATAAGGCTCCTCTCTCTAACAAGCCCCCCCCCCCCGCCTTTTCAGGGCAAGAAAGTTGATACGTCGCCTCTCTTTTAATACCTCAACTGCATTCGAACGTTATTTAACAATCAGTTAAGACAAAACTTATCTTGTTCAGCACTGCTATAGCCAGCCTGCTTCACAGACTCAATTCTGTAGCACAACTTATTACACGAAGGAGGAAGTATGATTACATTACGCCTATTTTAAAACAACCCCACTGGCTTTCAGTCAGTCAATTATTTTTAAATTATTACTAATAACCTATATAGCATTCAATGGGTTAGCACCTGCCTATATTAAAGAATTGATTAAGGTAATTCCCTTGAAATTGTTTTACCATCAAACTTTTTTTGAAACTTGGCATAATCAACATTCATGATATGAACATTAAAAAAATGCAATAAAAACATGCGGTCATCGTACTTGTTTACGCGTCAGCAGGCTCTTAAATTGGGGTGTTTGGCACATTTCTTTCATTTTCTTGTTTTTCGATAGCAAACCAGGAAGCTGTCAGCCGATCTGCCGCATCATCATTGCGAATAAAAGCTTTGGCTCTGCAAAAGCGGCCCTTGTTTGTTCTTTTCCCGCAAGTGGGAAGAACCGCCGCCATCTTGAATGTCGCGATGTTATGCGCAGTAGAGGGTGCGCAGTAGAGGGTGCGCAGTGCAAAATAAAAAGGTCTTTCTCTTTTGCAGCACCTCATTGGTGGAAATCACTTCCACAGTATATTCGCAGAAGTGACACATTATCAGAGTTTAAAATCAACATTAAGACTTACCTTTTAAACGTACTTATGGGGACTAGGTTTAGCCAATGTAATAAAATTATGGAATATCAAATCATTTATCTTTCAGATGTTATCGTTTTAAGTTTTAGGGATTTAGTTTTTAATTGCAGCTTAGAATATTTAAATAGGATTTTTATTGTAACTTACATAATTCGTCAGGTGTTCGTTTTATCATCATTCGATGTAAGTTTTTAATTTATTATTTTTTGCTTTGTATGAATTCTGTAAAGCGCTATTGAGCATATGGAAATAGCGGTATATAAATAAAGTTTATTATTATTATTATTATTATTATTATTTACGCTTTACAGCGAAGCAGCGTCGAGATCCTTATAGCTTGCTTCGAGCCGTGTTTTATCTTTCGGTCAGTAGGCCGTTTCAGATATAAAACTCTCCGCGTATATCATTAGCCCCCCTAAAATCCCTTACCTGAGATACATAAGCCCAGGGCCTAGAAGTGGAAGTTTACGGTACACTATTCAAATTTTCAGTAAAACCTGCCATACGGAAGAGGTTCTAAACTGTACGTTTCTGGGAAACTGCCCACCAAACCCCTCCCCTAAGCCAACATTAACACTTACTTGTCACTTAAGGCAAAATGTTGGCTTAGGGGAGGGGTCAGTGGGCAGTTTCCCAGAAACGTATACTGATTCAGAAAAAAGGGCCCCCTTTCGGACGGAGCCTCGCCGTATCGGCCATTACAGGGGCATGCCCACCACCCCGGGATCTAATCACGTGATTTTCACACCTGGCTTAACAACTAGTGCTACCAGGTGGCGCGATGGGTGATTTGGAGCTCCAGGCACTGGATCAGCTGGTGCTGGGTGCGGGTTGAGCTGAAGTAAGCCATCTCTTAGCGCAGCATCTCTGAGATTTGCAGCGGTGTACGGATTGGCTATTGCCGCACCATTAGCATCGACGGTATACTCCTGTCCACCACCAAATCCAGGCTGGGCAAAGTTATCCGTTGCACGGCGATTCGCGTAGTTATAACAGTTATTGCACCTTTGTCTCCTGTAGGCAGGCTCCAATGCGTTCCACACAGCCGGATTGTAGGTAGGTGCATAACGCTTTCCTCGTACTTCGAAAATTGGAGCTTTTTCAAAATCGATCTTTCCTGAGTTTATGTCGTCTTCAATTTCCTTTCGATCACCCTTTTTAAGCTGAACGCGCCTAAGCAACTCCAGTTGTAGTTTAGCACTTTTCGGTCCAACGAGAAGTCCCGCAATCTTGGTACTCTTATCCTCCACCAGTATTCCTCTGTAGCCAAGTCTAGCAGGCATCTGTGCAGGCAGGCCGAACCATCCATTGTCTCTGGCCTCAACCATTCGCGCTTTAAGTGTCCGGTTACCTTTGACAGTAAACTCTGGATTATCGCGACCGGAAAAGAACGACACTACCACAGTGAACACTTCTGTAAAGAACGTAGAAAACAGTACAGTAAGGGCGGATTTCCACTGTCACGTAATTTTTACATGCGATGCGGGCGTAAAATTTACGTTCGCGAGTGAAAGAGAGACAATGTTTATGATGGCCGCGGCTGCTTAATAGAGGTGGCCTCTTAATAGAAGGTTAATTCCCTATTCTTTGGCACGACTGTTTCTTCTGGACTTTGATTACAGGCCACTTAATAGGCAGCCGCGTAATAGAGATCAACTCCAACTATAAATTGAATCTGTATTTTTGACCGCGATCCTTCTTGCACTTTTAACGGAAGTGATGGGGGACGGTGGGGCTTGTGAGAGAAAAGTATGGTTAAGGGCCTGGGCCCGGTTGCATAAAACGCCCGTAACAGTTACGGGTATACGTACGTGTACTCGTAACTTAAGTGAGTTGCATTAAATCACTTACGTGGTCCACTTAGGGATTTCACTTAAGTGACTGCACTTACGATTTTCGTAAGTATCCACTTAAGTGTCATTTATGCAACAGAAATTGCGGGTGTTGCATAAAACTTTTTTTACGGGAAAAATGGCACGTAAATTTACGGGACCTAATTAGGTCCCGTATCCTTACTGTTTCTACTAAAGTTAACGAGATCTTTCACTGAGAAGTGAAAAAAAAAGTTTTTTATTTAAGTAATTCCGTTCTAATGCGCTTTGTTAACCTCTGATGCTCACTTTATTTAAAGCCGTCTTTCAGAAAAAAAAGTAGAACATGCAACATACATTATCAGTAAATATTCTTGTAAAATAACGATGGCATGCAAACGTATTTCAACGAAAGTTAACGGACATGATGAGTTGCACTCATAGGATATTAAAATGTCAATCCTCTTTGCTGAATGATCTGAAAATATTTAAAAACTGTCATCAGCTTCAATAGATTATAAGGATTGTGAAAAAAAAAACGAACAAATTCCTAACGTTTTTTCGACCCTCTTCAGTTTCATTAATGTCGTCTTGGTACGCTTCATCAGCATTGCTGCTGTCGCCCGTAGCTTCTTCTTTATCATCGTTTAGAAAAACATTTCTACATTTCTAGGATGTCAATGAAACGGAATTCTGAAGATGAACAAGGCTCTAACTCCAGAAAAAGAGCGCCGAATTTTAAGACGGATAAAATCATAATTTTTTTCGCCATGAGGTAAAAAGGAGAAAGATGACTCCATTCGGTACTTTATCTCCTACACTGACATTTATATTGAAAATGCAAACATGGTTGGAGGTTCACACAGCTAGTATAGCCGCCGGGTTCCCACCAAAACCCAAGGAACAACTTAAAAAGAAATGGGAGGACTTGTCGTCAGCCACTAAAGCCAAATACGCCAAACGAAAGAAGACTGGGGTGCAGGTGCAATAGAGTGGACTGATGGTGACCAGTTTATCACCGAGATACTCGGAAAAGAAAATCCCTACCTCGTATCTATAGTTGGTGGAATAGACTCTGGGGATATCCAAGCCAGAGAACACACCCTTGATGCTTCAAGTGGCGCCATTGAGAAATACAGCCTATCGTCAACTTCATCTTACCTTCCAGTAGGCCCAGATAGGGTGGTTGAATTAGAAAGTGGCTAGAGAACTTCGGAGAAGGAGTAAGAAGAAAGCCGTTTAAGGGAAGAAGAAACAAAATAACCAAACTGTACCTGATTCCGACTCTGTTAGGGAACAAGGACATAGAGAAAGGAACATTAAGAAGATATATTTAGAGCATTTAAAAGAAAAGCATGATGTCAAAATGAGAATTCTAAAAAAGAAGGAACAGCGGCTTGATCTTAAGTTGCAGTTGTTTAGACGAAAACTTAACATTAACAAGTAGTTTAGAACCTGTGCAGATATTACATTAATAAACTATTTTTTATTATGTCGAAACCTCTCGGTCGAATAATTTTTTTTTGGTTAAATGACGCACTTTTTTCTGTCTATATAAAACGTTACCTCACCCAGCTGAATTTATCATCTAACAGAGGCTCAAGAGTGTTCGAAACGACCAGCTAATTTCTTTACACCCATCGATGGTTAGCTTAAAAAAAAAAAGAGTGGGTCACTAATAAAGTACTATATCAAAGTTACCTGTGCCCTTAAGTGAGCCCGTAAGTTACCACGTAAAACAGGAACTTAGAGAGTGCTAAGTGCCTTCCATGCAACACCCGTAAGTGTCCCCATAACGGATTCGTAAGTGACCTACTTAAGTGAGCACTTAAGTGCAGGTTTTATGCAACCGGGCCCTGTTTACATGGAGGTGGGGGACCCCAGGTAGGTGAAGTAACCCCCTTAGGTGGGGTAACCCGCCTGTCGATACAATCTCTCATTTTAAATTGATCACGTTTACATGATAGGTTGGGTGACCCGCCACATGTTACCTCACCTATACCTGGGGTCCCCCACCTCTAAGTAAACGGGCCTTAAGCCTCTTTTTGTTTCAGAATCTTGTAGCCTGGAAAGACTCTGAGTATAACTAGCCCTTCAGATTTTTATTTCCTGAGGGGGGAGGGCAGCTGTATACTAGACTAAGTATATTCATGCCTTTTCGCAAATGGTTATAGTTTAGTTGCAGACTCAGACCCAGTCGCTATTTATGTGTTTTTGGGCCTCGTGCGCCTCATCCAGGCCTCAATCTTCTCTCAGGCCCAAAAACGAAAAAAAAGCGACTGGGTACTATTCTGTTATGACTAAGGCCCGGTTTGGACGCCGAACTTTTTATGAACCGAGCCTAATTCGAATTAAGACCGACCTAAATAGTTTAGACATGCTGAGCTGATTCAGACGCCGATCTTGATTCCAGCTGAACTTAATTCAAAGGAGAAAAATATTCATTTCGGTCAAACTTTTTACACAATACTATATGATAACTTATGCATTTGGTTCGGCACATGAAAAGGTCGGCGTCTGAATCAAAACCGTTCAAAAGTCGATCCAAAGTCGAAATTCTAGGCCGGGCTAGGCTGGAAGAGAACGGCTGAGGCGCGTTCCAAATTGAAACAGGCGCTCCTAATAAATTCAGACGCCGAACTTTTCATGTACTTAATTCAATGTATTAGGTTCGGCCCATGAAAAGTTCGGCCTAAGGATTTCGAAGAACTTTATTACGGAAACCAACAAACCAAAGTTGGGCTCTTGCTGTTCAGCAGTGGAGACGACTTGCAGTAAAGCAACGCTGAGGAACGTTAGATAGGCCAGCATCTCTGGAGAAGTCTGCAACACCAACCATACATAATTAATCAGTGTGTAATCAACTTCCGAGGGGAATCATTGTCTACATTCAGTATTCGGAAAACGTAGTTAGCCCGTGCGGAAGCTGCCGAAACAATGCCCTTCCATGGTCCCCACGGCAAAGGCTTTAGCTTGCTGCAATTCTCTCCGTGCGTGTAAAACGTGGTCAAACCCGTCAAATAGGAACATATTGACTTGGGTAGTTAGAGGGGCTTTAAATGCAATAAACGACAGAAATATAACTGGAACTTAAATTGTTTTGCGAATTTTAGGAAACAGAAAATTACTGTTAAAAAGTATTTAAAACACCAAAATTGACCCTTTCACATTTTATTAGCCTAGAACGACAATAATTTGTGGAATTTTCGGTTGGATCAGGTGAGTTGTGGAATTGCTCCAGTTGAAAATAATGCAAATCGTTTCTTGCTCAGTTCATTCTATCTCATTCTACGGGTTGGGGTATATAGCTTTACACTCAAGCCGGCAAAAAGTGCATTCCCAAAATAATAAATTAAACCACTGCACCATGCTGGCAGCAGCCCAATGATTCCCCTCTATATAGGGGTCTTTAATATTATTACAATAATAGTAATTAACGCTACGACTGGCCAGTGAAAGATATCCCCTCCACATGTGCTTGTGGGGAAGCCTTTACTCCTTTACGGTTGATCACTCTATGATTTGAAAACTAGGAGGTGTTATTACTCATCGCCACAGCGAGCTAAGAGATCTCGAAACTGAATTTCTGAGTATGGTGTGTAGAGATGTCGAGATCGAGCCAGTACTTCAACACATCTCCAGCGAACATCTAAACAGTGGATCTAACAAAGCTAAGGATGCGAGGTTAGATATCCACTCAAGCGCGTGGTTTCTGGGAAAGACATCGATCAGCATTCTTCGACGTTAGGGTCTGTCACCCTAATGCTGCATCGTATAGGGACCTAGAGCCACAACAAATGTATCGTATCCATGAGAACGAGAAAAAGCGTCTCTACTCAAGGAGAGTTCTTGACATCGAGCTTGGAATATTTACACCTTTGGTCTTCACCACAACTGGCGGAATGAGAAAGAAGTGCTTGATGTATCATAGCCCTTTAGCACAGCTTATTTCCATCAAAAAAGGGGAGCAGTATGCCAAAACCATCTCATGGATCAGAACTAGAACCTCATTCGCTCTCTTGAGGTCTGCGTTGGTTTGTCTTAGAAGCTCTAGGACAAGAAGAGTGCCATGTGACATTAAAAATGTTCATATTGACGTCGAAATTGCTGAAGGAGCTATTCAATCAGACTATTGATGTGCTTCCTTACTTTTAAATGGCAAATATTCGTCAATAACGCATTGAGAACGCTATTTAATTTTCCTCTCTTTTTTAAAATGATTTTCTTATTAAGAATGTAATCGACCTTGAAAACGTTTTTTTTTTAAATCGAAATGGATTGTTTTAATTGAAATGAAATGTTGTTAACTCGAATAATTTTAATAATTAAATGAATTTTTTCTGTTCAAAACCTAAGTGTTTTTTTTTTTTGAACGAAAGGAATTGTAGATAGTGTTTTGACGGAATAGTTTTTTTTAAGTGAATTAAAAAAAATTTTTAATTGTAAATAGGATTTTAATAGTTAGCATTGTTATCAGAGATAATTTGAGATAATTTCTTGCTTTTTCTTACGTAAATCTTACTTTTTCTTTTACAAACTTAACAAACAAGTAACAAACAATGTCTTCAAAAACAGGAAAACAAAAGGAAACGGTGGAAGAAGATTTT